TACGAGGGATGGTTACATTTGTACGTGGTTAGGAATTTAAACTAATCAAATAAACTTGGGGTCTTTTTTACGTTTTCTTTTATCAATTACGTTTACTTTGAAAAACTGGTTTCTATGAGAAACACAATTCCTGTCATTTTTAATTGAGAAGATTTCAAATTAAATCTCAAAATTATCTTTCTCTGTTTGTGACTTTAGGCTTTTTGTTTCAGTTTAACGTATTAACAGTGTAGGTTTACTCTACCCCTTCCGCCATCTTAGAATTACAGGTGGCGCGATTCTTGAAAGGCCCGCCTTCTTTTCTTTTGGCCACGTGACTTACAACACGTTTTGAGGTGACGGGCATTAATAGGTGATAGGTAGAAACATATAACCCATATTAATATCAGATTTAATACTATAGTAAATGCTAACTTTTTTATGAATCTAAAATAGCGGAGCTTATATATATATATATATATATATATATATATATATATATATATATATATATATAAAGAATGTTAAACATAAAAATGTCTTAAAATATATATATATATATATATATATATATATATATATATATATATATATATATATATATAAAATTTTGTGGTTAGGTGAGAGGAGTTTATTCGTGGGGATGTTTATCAGAAACATAGAACATAAAACGTACTGTGGTGAAATGGTATATACAAACATAATATAATTTTATTTGCTTCAGAATGAGTTCGCTTATAAGGCGGATATTGGTAGTAGCTTGGAGAAAGTTCGATCGTCGGTAGTTGTAGTTTTGAAGTCAGACCGTGCTCGGGTAATAGTAATATTAGAAATATGTCAGTGTTAATCTACCGTGTTTTACTCAGCCCTAAGTATGGCAGAAATACCTCTTGATGACCTCTTAAAGATTTCTTCACGCGTCACACATATGTGGTTTCTCCAGCGTAGCGTCCGTTGTTGTGTCCTCTCCTGCCGTCCTCCTGCTTCTAGCTTAGAGGTATCAACTTATATCCTTTTGACCAGACTCTGAGATTCTGGCGGGAACCTTGGTTTCAGCTACCATCAAAAGTTTTTTTGTCTTATTTTTTTCTTTTTTGTTTATCCAAAATTATTTTATTTTCCGGCGTTCCTTTCTTTTTATTTAATTTTTTTTATAACGGAAGTTATGCGTGGAACCTCCTTGATTTTTGTTAGTTTTCAGTCACAAATAAGTAGGCTCCGGACCCACAAACCCCCGGCGTTTTTCGGATGGGTTCAGTCTTTTTTTCTTCTTTTCTCCTTTTATTTGAGAGCTTCCTTCTCGTTAGGAGAGTAGTATATATATATATATATATATATATATATATATATATATATATATATATATATATGTGTGTGTGTGTGTGTGTGTGTGTGTGTGTGTGTGTGTGTGTGTAGAGACAGAGAGACACACAGAAAATAGATAAGTGTTTTAAACAAAAGCAATTGATTTATTTTAACTTGAATTATTTTTGTTTATATATTTTATTTTTATATTTTTTTATAATGACTCACTACACTATAATTAATAACGCAGTTGTTTTTAGAAAACTAATTAATAGCGGATTTTTATTGACAATACAGGATTTTACACTTGGCATTAATGGGCTAATTTGAAACCGGGAATGGGACGTTTCGGCGTAGCCCAATTGGCATCGCCGATTCGCCGTTGCCGATTCGACGTAGGAATTTTTCGGCAGAGGGACGATTAGGCGTTAGATTACTACTATAGTTGTTATAGTAAAATCTGTTCTCTCTTTCTCTCCTCTCTCTCTCTCCCTCCCCCCCTCTCTCTCTCTTATAGAGATGCTGACGAACTAATCAAAAAAGTCATAATAGAAGTTGAATCATTAGATCTTATAGAATTCCTGAACGGTGTTGCTCATAATTACGAAATGAAGAAATAATTTCTAAGATTAAATAGCTTTACTAAGTTTTTTATTTTTTTGAAATACAATATTTTTAATTTAAGTTTTTAATTTACATTACCCCATTAGTGTTTTAATAGGATCCTCAATTCTCTAAATGAATAAAAAGTCATATTGAAAGTTGGACAGTTTCAGTGCTTTTATGCTTTTTTTAGTGGTGGGGTTGGGTGGGGGATTCGGTCAAAGACTGTGACATCGAAATTGTCTGACGTCTAAACGGTTGTACCGAATAGTCCAATTATTTTTCTAACGTCGAATCAGCGACGCCGAATTTGCTACACTGAAAGGTACCAAATTGTCTCGACTGTTGATTAGTTGTCCTACGGCTATTGTCTGCAATGGACGTTACTCCAAGGAAGCGTACAAAAATTGTAATGCTTCACGAACACACTGGCAAACACTATACTATAGACTGGCTCTCCTGATTTAAATCCAATCGAGAATCTGTAGTCAATATGCAAGGCACGACTTTGTGGAAGGGACATACGAAGTACTAACATGTGCACTGAGTCATGTTTCATTGGAAAGTGTAGCATGGCGGGTTTTAGCTGTTGAAGGTCCGAACTGGCGGAACCAAGGAATGTAATTCACCAGAACAGCTGCCATGGAAATATGGCTAGAGTAGCAAAACGCTAGCAAGGTTTCGTCTGAGGGAAAGGAGCTGTAGGGTAGAAAACAATTCATCACCCACAAGGTGGCGTGATATAATTTTGCAAGAAATTAATCTACGACTTTGAGTCAGACTTGATAAATATCTATACTTATATTACCTTCCTGTAAAACAAAAACAAATAAAAAATAGCATTTAGATAAAATAAACACTAAAATCTAATTATTAACTAACCCTAATTTTATTTTTATTTTTAGTCCACAGATAGTTTAGTTTTAGAAACTGATCAAGAGCAAACGTCTGTTCATTAATTTTCAAGTAATCAAAATTAACTAAAACTTACGAAGATTTTTATTATGACACTAAGGGAATTTTTTCAGAATTTGTAAACATATGTTGGCCTTTTAAAAAACTGAAAAGAAAAAAGAAGGAGGAGATTTATTTCAAATGAGGGGGGAATTTCAAAGTAGGTTATCAATCTTTTATTCCTCTTTTTACAAGTACTTTTAAAGGCGCTAACGAAAAGGACAATAAGTCTCTTACGCCTGTTGCGTATTTGAATCAACCCACAACAAAGAAAAAGGCGAAAATGCTGTTTAAGTATAAAAATATAAAATATTTGTGTTTTTTAGAACTAAATCTTTCTTAGCGCATATGAGTGTTAAAGTTCTTACAGTCCTCGTTTGTAGTTGTTTGTTAAGATGAAAAGAAATGGTATTTCTTCGCGTTTATGTGTGAGAAAGAAGAAGCAAGGGAGAAGGGGAAGAGGAAAGGGTAAGTGTAACGTAGCTTAGTGAGGAAGAGTGATCTATGATGGATGATAAGCAACACAGTTAACTACAATAGCAAGGCGCGGCTCTACCAATTCTAGTTAGGTTAATATGTTGTAGATTTAAATCAACCCACAACAAAGAATAAGGAGATAAAGGTGTTTAAATATAAAAATATAAAATATGTTTTTATTTTTGTATTTTTTCTTAACGTGTCTGAGTGCTAAAGTTCTTACAATCCTTGCTTGTAGTTGTTTGTTAAGATGAAAAGAAATGTGATTTCTTCGCGTGTATGTGTGAGAAAGAAGAAGCAAGGGAGAAGGGGAAGAGGAAAGTGTAAGTATCATGCAGCTTGGTGAGGAAGATGGGTGAATGAGTAAGCTGATTTCTTTTAAGCTGTGCGCGTCGTGAATTGTTGACGTTCTTTCTCCTTACTACTTTGTCTGGTCTAGAAACTTTGCTTAAATATCCTTCAAAGGGATCACGAAACATGTTTTTATTGTCGGCGGGAACGTGATCCGATCGTTGAAAAATGTTAAATATTTATTTTCAAAGTACTAATTTATTAACCAGAAGAATGCACGAATTCTCAAACACAGAAACCATTTTTGTCACTTGGTGTTTATTTCCGTCTTCGCTCCACACGCCGAGTGAAATTTGCAAGGAAACAAATATTTATTAAAATGAGAAAATATTTTTTACTACCGTATATACAAATGGCGTAATAGGTAATGGCTGCTCCAGTTACTGCTACGCAGTAACTACTTATTTAAGACGTTGCATACTGAGAAAGACAATATTCGGGGAATGCTATTGAATTTCCAACGTCAGGATCTTTTCAGTTGGAACTTTCAATGTACGGGGCTTGATCCGAAGCAAGAAGCAAGAACAGTTAGCGATAGACATAGAAAAGTACAAGGTGGACGTGTGTTACAAGAGACAAGAACTTGTACAGTAGACGTCAAGAATCTCATTTGTCTTTGTTCATTTTGAAAACAAGATGCAAACTTCTTGGACATATTTTGCGAATGGATCCAGAATGCCCAGCTAACAAAGCCATGGAGTTTTACTTTGAAAAACTGACTTTAAAAAGTTGAGAGGTCATCCAAGAACCACTATAGTCACAACGCTGAACCGAGACGTTCAAAGAACAAGGCAGAAAGATCTCACTTTTCCTTTGGAGAAGTTTACAATTAAGGAAGATCTGCAACGAATCCGCAAACTCGCAGAAGACAGAGAAGGCTGGCAAAATATTGAATCAGTATACAATATCACTGAAGATGAGAGAACATGTTAATTCATGACCTCAAATCGAAACAGTTTTGATGATGATGATGATGATGATGATGATGATGATGATATTCTCGTGCATAAGCTGACTTCATTTTTAGTGCAACCCCGGATTTTTTTTTCTAATAACCTGATTTTTTTCATATAGCTCGTGTATAAGGCGACCCAGATTCCGAGCATGTATCATAATACTTTGTGTATAATTTATATATATGATGAATGGGATGTGCTTTTATAAGGATACTAAAGGTTTTTAATTGTCAATGATAATATTACTGTATAACGTAAATAAAACTACAAGAATGAAGAATCATTTGGCATTTCATCCGGTGCAATCATTATTTACCGTATATTACGGTACATCGTGTCAAAATATTTTAAGAATATGTAACGGAGAATTATAAGATTAAATCTATCTATCTATCTATCTATCTATCTATCTATCTATCTATCTCTCAGTCTGTTCGTATCTAAAGGGTGTTCCAATAACTTGGACCGATTTTAAAGGTGAATTAAGTTTAAGCGTCTAATGATTTTTTTTCTTTTTCTTTCACATTTAACAACTTAAGTCTTTGGCAGTTTCAACCATGGAAAGATTAACAATCAGCCAACGCGTTAAAGTTATCGAAGCCTATTACAAAAATGGACGTCCAAAATTTGAATGAGAAGTACCTAGGTTGCTTCACTTCTCGAAACAGCGAAGTCAATTGGCCACCACGATCGTGCGACTTGACGCCTTTAGATTTTGGGTTCATCTCCAAAGTAAGGTCTATGCCAACAAGCCAACAATAATTCAGCAGCTGAAGGATGAGATATTAAGGCATATTGGTGAGATCAAGGAGCAATTATGCAGAGACGTCATCAAACATTTTGACCATCGATTGGAGGTGTGCCACCGAAGCCTTGGCGGATATTTGGGCGATATTATTTTTCACACATAATTGCCATGACTTAAATAACATGATCCAATAGAAAAATAAATTTTCACCAATAACACTGAATTATTTTGATCCGTCTTAATGAAATACCCTTTATTTTAAGAATACGTAACGGAGAATTATAAGATGAAATAATACCGTTAATGTACAGTATATAATAAATAAATATAAATAAACAGAAGATGATAGAATAAGGAACACAACTGAAACATATAAAGTAATAGATACATATCAGACAAAAGGGGTTCCGTTGGAAAACTAATATCTCAGCGATATAAACACGTATGAACGAAGATGAACGCAAATTAGAGAAAAGAAAAAAGCCTTGTTAATTTTTCCTTTATATAAGGTAGATTTTAAACGGCATATATATAGTGAATAACGTTCTGCTGTCCATGTAACAACAGGCTAAAGTAGCTTACCTGCACCCAGGTTAAGGTTAGCCAAAGTTACCACGATAATGTCGGCCTATCAGGTCGGTTCAATTATGTGCCATATGTAATACATGCTTAGGCGATCATGTATCTTTCCATACATGACTGATGAGTCAGATTTTTTCCCGCAGTAGGTTGATATTGCGGTGGACCAGTTGCCATCCAAGGCTATAGAACCCGGTCTGTCCTGCTATTTACCCATAGCTGGGGGGAGAAGAAGAGGATTCTGATATTTCCCAAGAGTATTAGCACGTTAGTGAATGTAATGAATTCGACTGGAATTCGAACTCGGCTTTCCGATTCCTCAGTCCGAGCCGCTATCCATTACTCCACCGTGCCCCAATTTTACCCCCTCCCAAGCAAATTTACCTGTGTATAATGTAACTGGTCACCGAAAATGCATGATTTTTAACCTCTTCTGAAAATACCCTGTGTATATAGTATGACCCACCATTTTTTACGTAAAAAATTGATCTTATAAATTCGTACTATACTCGAGTATATACGGTATATACAAATTGTTCAAATTATAATACAGGCTTTGAACAAAACTTCCTTTGTGTGCCTCAAACTATCAAGGCATGTTAACATTTCTTTCAAATACAAATCTGTTTTCTCATAGAAAACAAAAGTTAATGAAAAAACATATTTTTCTCAAGAACTTTCTTTCAGATCAACAGTTCATATAAAAGTTTACAATCCAAAATGTCGAAAGTTCAAAGGTTGAAACTCAAAGTGGATGGGAGAAGGTTGACTCACTTCGGGCTGGTTTTCTGGGTCCTTTGACAAAATATTCATATATTTGGAACAGGCGTTCTCAAATATGCTATAAACTCTCACAGATTTAGATAAGACGTTCTTAAGGGGTTTTCTTACTCCGTCAACAACAGTATTAGTATTATTATTAGTAATAGTATTAGTAGTATTCTTTTATCATCCCATGTCACATATTTTCTCGCTCGGGTCAGGTCTATTCCATTTTACACAACTTTTACACACCCGGGTGTGGTCTAAGCCTTTTTGACTTTGCAGTTAAAACTTTTCCTCTTATATAGCAAACAAGTGACTCCAATCGGATCAAAACCAAAGTCCATAGGGGGCATATTCGTTTTTATCCCCATTGGTTAATACTTGAGAATCACTATCCAGTCAAACCGCGCACGTTTGCAATTTAAATTTGTCTGGTTTGACATCATCAAAGTCGAGCCTCATTGCCACGGAATGTTGGGTTTCATTTTGGCGGATTTTTAGAAACTGGCTTCATTTTGTCATTTTTTATAGCATCAATTTGAAGTATTTGAAAGGGTCCGCCATTCAATGATCCGACGGGTGCAGGCATGTGTAGAAGCAAGCGGAGGACATTTTGAACATTTGTTATTAGTTGTTGTGTTGAGGTACAAAGATGGCCTTTTGAACATATGTTTATATGGACATTTTATGTTGTTTTGGTTTCAGGAATTCGCCCCAAAGTTTGTAAAAGTATTTCTGGATTGTATCTTGGATTGTACATCTAATAGTGTCTATCGTAAACATTAAACTTAATAACTCAAAAAGGAAGGATTTGCGGACATATGTTTATATGGACTTTTATCTTTGTTTTGGATTGAGGAACCGCCAAAGTTTGTAAAAGTATTTTTATACACCCTGTATATATTAACCGTCTGGCTTCATTTTGTCGGATTTTTATGGCCTCAATTTGGAGCTTTTTTTTTTTGCAAATCATTGCATCAATATATATATATATATATATATATATATATATATATATATATATATATATATATATATATAGAGAGAGAGAGAGAGAGAGAGAGAGAGATTATCGGGTTCGATTCTCGGTAGTGGATGCGTACTGCTGATGGATCCAAAATAGGACGAAACAGCTGTCCAGGGCAAAATAGGACGAAACAGCTGTCCAGGGCATTCTGGATTCTGTTGAGGATTCGTCTAGACTTGATGAATTACTATAATGATTATTCTAATTCCCCAAAATTCTATCACTTATACAAAGAAACCGTGTTAGTAACATTACAATTCTTAATTAGATTTTTTAGATTTTCATGCAATTTAATATTATCTTTTTTTTATTAAAATGGTTTCTATATTATTTATTTTACACAATTCCAACATTTTAATTATTTTTCTCATTAATAAAAAAATAATTTTTATAAAACTAATAAAATTGATGCGTTATTGATTGAAGGGAAAAGAAAAAAAAGAATGCAAAATAATATTTGGGTATAAAACAGGGAAATACTCGCTTAACGTAATTATTTCTCCAATTTATAAAATAAAGATCAAATCTGCGCCCGATGAGTCCAACGCTTAAGTATTTTCTAAACCTGTGTCACGTGACCTGGCGGGGGACGTCTTCTAGTTATGGTCGACATTCCGACGACCAGCGACTGATAAAACCGTTTATTATCTGAGCAGGAGATGGTAAACTTGTACACCTGTGCGATTTGTGATGAGCTGTCTTAGTTAATTGACGACATTGCGATTAATACAGCAACAAGAACACTTTAAGCGTTTCGCAAAACTGAAACTGGAAACTTTCCGCCATTACACATTTATTGAAATTCACTTTCCCACCCACTCAGTGTTGCCAGCCCAGTTCGTAGAACTGGACAACGATTTATTTGACATTTCAGTAGTTAGTTATTCTAACGTACTTTAAAATGTAACCCAAAGAATAGAATTTTCGGTTTTCAAAAGTTAGAAGTTTTTTTTTAAATTCAAAATTTAGTAGCGCTGTTGATTTCAAAAGTAACCCCAAATATCACAAGTCATTCATAGTGTATTAACGCTGGGCTTTAAACAAGTAATCTGCTAATCTGCTAACATTATATTGTACAAGTAAATAAAATGACCGCATTTTTCACCATATAATGGTCATTCGAGAAATGACTAATAGCCATTTTGATGAACAACTGTGTATGGCTCGGTATCAATCACTTCAGTCACTCGGCCTCCTCCAAACCATGACTTTTGTGATATAATGCGTAGGTGATTTTTAAGTAAAAGTATTTTGGGAAAATGTGCGCATTAAATGTCAGAAAAATATGTTATTTTAAAGCATCTAAAACCTTGAGGCTAAAATAGGTTATGTGTTGTTCTCTGTCCCTCTTGCCTTCAATCCTGTGAGTATCAAATTTTCCAAGCCCTCTTTCCTCATTATGTGTCCTAGAAATTTCAACTGTCTCTTCTTGATGTTAAGTATGTTTCCTCTTTGCATAAAGATGCAATTGATATCTAAACAAATAAATGGCAAATACTGTTTGTCCACCCGTGTGTCTAAAACCCGTCTAACTCACGCCACACTTGCTCTATATCAACATATTATATACCTTTTTAGAATCACGATGATCCCGGGATAGAAAAGCTGTCCTTCATCTGGTGATTAAACATCCAGTATTGAAATTTGTGTCCGGATGAGGTCAGTTCAAAATTTAAATTTTAAAATAACTGAAAAAAAAGTTATTTTAAATGTTGTTCGTTTATATTTATTGAGTTTAATTAAAACAAAAATTTTGAGAATTTTAATTTTTTTTGTTTTAAGTTCAGTTTAAAATATCTCCAAAATTCCAAGGAATCAAAGTTAAAGTGAGAGGTTTCGTGACGTAACGTTTTGAATTCAACTTGATTGTTCCACGGAGTTTGCGATTTGAAGAACTTATATATATATATATATATATATATATATATATATATATATATATATATATATATATATATATATATATATATATGTGAACATAGAAGTCAACACTTAGATGCGACAGTCTGTTTCATGCTAGATACTAGACTTCTATGCTCACTTTTATATTTACACACGCTCTATCTCTGATATTGAGCACTTTATCTCATAAATATAGCTCATCTTAAGACTATATTTCTTCATATATATATATATATATATATATATATATATATATATATATATATATATATATATACTTTTTCTGCAAGCAATTGCCTTTAAGGGATATTCGTTACGTGGACTTGGTTTGTTCAAGTGGTCTGTTGGCTGTTTTCCTGTTCTGTTTTTTATTATTTGTGTTGTGTTCTCGGTGCTACTGTAGCTGACTTCTACTGTGTTTCTCCTGAAGATTGACCTGCTTTCAGTATTTCACCGCTGTCGTATATTTGCTTGTTCATTTCGGTACTCTTAGGTATCTAACAGTAATGAGGAAATGATTACGTTTTTTTTTTAAATTTACGACTTCCTCGAGCTTTACGATCTCCTCGTTTATTCATTTCGTAATTTTTGACACTTTAATTGATTTTTAGATCCCCTTTTAAGACCATCTCATTTATTGAATATTGAGAAAAATCCTGACCCCACTAATTATTTAGAACCACCTTTTTTATTAGAATAAACTTATCAATCCCTAAATTGTCTAATGAGGTTTATCTTTAGTTTAATCTGGCCCTTTTTTTTGTTTCTTTTCATAATGGCCAGTGCCGATCTTATCTATGTTTTTAATACTACCCTTCCTTACCTGTTTTAACGTATTACGGTTTCTCTCATTTGTTGTCATGGGAAAGCTCTTTATAGTATTCGCTCTGTCTCTGTAATATCTTTTTGCTTTTCCATTATAATTATCTCCTTTTTATGTTCCATACATCCTGTCGAAGGATACCATTTCAGTCCTCCTATTTCTTCATCGTTTTATGCCTGCAGGCTATATCTATATTATGCACACTTCTCATTCGACTATTCTTTCTTTTTCTTTTTCTTCTTTTGTTTAATTTTTCTCCTCCTTTTTTCTTTTTTCCCCTTTTCTTTTTTTGCTTCCACACCTTTTCTTTTTTCCCTTTTTGTTTTCCTTTTTTCTTATTTCTCCTTTTCTTTCCCTTTATCTTTTCCCCCTTTCTTTTATTTCCTTTTTCCCCTCTTTTCTTTTTCTCTTTTCTTTTCCCTTTTCTTTTTCCCCTTTTCTTTCCTTTTATCTTTCCCCTTTTTATTTCTTTTTCTTTTTCCCCCTTTTTTCTTTTTTTCTTTTTCTTTTCCCCCTTTTCTTCCCTTTTATCCTTTCCTCTTTTCATTTCTTTTTCTTTTTCCCCTTTTTCTTTTTCCCTTTTTCTTTTTCTCTTTTTCTTTTCCCCCTTTTCTTTCCTTTTATCATTTCCCTTTTTTATCTCCTTTTCTTTTTCCCATTTTCTTTTTCCCTTTTTCTTTTTCCCGTTTTGCTTTTTTTCCTTTTCTTTTTCCTTTTTTCTTTTCCCCTTTTTCTTTTTTCATTTCCTTTTTTTTCTTTTCTGCTTCTTTTTCTTTTCCCCTTTATATTATAGAAATCGTAGGATATTATATGGATTAATGTCATGAAAGAGTTCTCTTATGTTGATTGATGTATTGTTAGTAATGTGTTTGTTCAACACCTAAAGACCCCATCTATGCTGAACGGACTTTAGTTGCTGTTTCTGGGAAAGAGCGAATTATCTGGCGTCATCATCAGTCTGAACAAAGCCAGTACACTCAAACACTCGGACACGATGACTTGTGACTTCGTGCTAGCACAACCATCAACGGCTCCCCAAAGAGTTCCATCTACCCAATGCTTGGGGTAACCTGTGGTCTGGTTTTCAGGCACTTTTCAAATATCCTGCACGCTGAGATCACCTCGATAAGTCACACCTTCCTGACAAGTCGACCATGGTGAGATTCGAACCTGGGTCTCATAGTCGGAAAGTGAACGCTTTAATCATTCTGCCATTCAAGTATTTATTCAAATAGATTAGAGTAAAAAATTATAATTCTTTTATTAAACAGGTGAAGAGTTTTTATGTTTGACGCTAATAGTTACCCTGAACCGTTCTAATTATGTACAAAATTCTACCTAACAACGCATGTGTAGGTTGACTTCCAGTTTTGATACTTAAAATCTCGACTTATACACAAATATACCCGATAGTCTTATTACAGTCTTTTCTTTTTTTCTTTTTTAACATTCTTTTGTTCTTTGACATTGCACTCGCTAACCTTACCTTCACTTTCTATCCTCCTCTTCTTTCTTTCTTTCTTTCTTTCTTTCTTTCTTTCTTTCTTCTCCACTGTTTTATTCTTCTCTTATTTTTGCCTTCTCCTTTCTTCTCTTTGGTCAGCGCTGACCAAAGAGAAGAAAGACGAAGGAAACTTTTTCCCCATGTTGATTTTTTCTCTTTCTTTCTTTTTTTTTTTTTCTTGTAAACACATGTTTTTATTTTAAATACCTCTGCTGTTGACTCTATTTATGAAGGTGTTTTTTCCGCGTACAAGCCAATTTCCCCGGGTATTAGACAAAGAGGATTTCTAATGCAATTTACGAATTGTAATTCTACCCGGTCTCACATTTACTCAACATTTATAGGATGACTGTAATCATGTACAAGCGAAGCAAAATGAACATCTGAAAATAAAGGAGCAAAACGCTTTTTAGTTTAACCAACAGGTAGGAACACATTTCAGCCGCTTAGTGCAAATTTACAATTGACCATAACATTGTGTACGTATAGATAGGTCTATTATCGAAAGCAATTATAAAACAAATTCCAAATACAGTAAATACAAGAATGAACAAACTATCTTCTAGTAAAACAATTTTTAACCAAAATAAATCGACATATAATCAAGCCCGATTAAAAAGTAAATTTAAACAAACACTAAATTATATAGATAAATCAATTAATAACACATCCACTAAGTTCAAAAATAGGAAAAGAAAGATTATATTATTTAACCCGCCTTTCTGTAGACTTTCGAATATTAATCTAGGGAAAATACTTCCTTAAACTAATAGACAAACATTTTAGTAAAAATGAACTAATGAAAAAGATGTTCAACAAAATGAATTTAAAAATTAGTTATTCTTGCATGAGCAATGTAGAAAAAATTATTATCTTTCACTATAGCAGAATTATAAGAGAATTTTATAATAATCAACTACAAAACATCTTAATGCAGACCAAAAGAAAACATCTATCTGTAATTGCAGGGCAGGATCCATTTGTCCAGTAGAGGGAATATGCATGGCAGAAAACGTGATATACGAAGCTACAATTTTCCCCAAGGAAGATATTAAACAGAAAAAGATATATATAGGAATATCGGTGGGTATTTGGAAACAACATTTTTATAATCATCGCCAGTCCTTCACAAATAAATCTAAAAGACACCAAACAGCACTGTCAAAACATTATTGGGATTTGTTGGAGAACAAGTTAACCCCAAGTAAAATGGAGAATCGTCTCGAGGGCTAGAACTCCAATAAACTTCAGAGACCGATGTAACTTGTGCATAAAAGAGAAAATCCTAATAATAAGGCATAAAGATGCGGACATATTACGGAACAAACATAACGAGTTAATTTTTAAATGTAGACATAAAAGCCACCTCAATCTAACTAAATATATTTAGAGATAACTATATAAAAAGGAAAATATTATGTTATTTTTGGTTTTGGAAATGATTATATGCACACATGGATGCGGATGGATAATTGTATGTATACAAATGTGTAGATGAACTTGGACATTGATATGTAGTTTTATGTATGTACGTATGTGCATTTGGATAGGGCTGTATATATGCATATATGTGTATGTATGTATTGTAGGCGCATATATCAATATATATATATGTATGTATGCGTATGTATGTGTATATATATGTGTGTATGAGTGTATTCGTAAGTCTAGCTAGGTATGTTTGTATATATATATATATATATATATATATATAGTGTCATGTATATAAGATTTCATGTAGTCTGTATATGTATATGTATATATATATATATATATATATATATATATATATATAGTGTCATGTATATAAGATCGCATGTGGTCTGTATATGTATATGTGTGTGTATATATAGATGTAAGTATTTATTTTGTATATGTGTATATATATAGATGCAAGTATTTGAGAGTTCGTATTTATAATATGTGTGAATATATGTAAAATATAGTAATATAAATACATATGCATGTGTGGGTGTTTATAGGTATAGATCTATTTTTATATACTTATATATATATATATATATATATATATAAATATAAAATATTCTAATGGAAGGACATAAAGTTATTTTATTGAAGTTTTAATCTTACTTTTATTAATGTTTAATCTTACTTTCTCTTTTAATATTAGAATTGTGAGATTAAAAATTTTTATCATCTGGAGGTAATTTCATTTTAAATTGATAATTTAATTTAAATTTAAATATATCACTCTTTAACTATCAATATTGATAGTAAAATTAGAAATATTTGTTTTGATATTTAAACACTTAAGTCATCACCTAACGTTAGACATTAACTATAAAATAAATATGTGTAATTATTTGTAAGTATATGTGCAAGTATTTATGTATGAATATGTATAGGTACCTGTGTATATCGATACACATGTGTGTGCCTATGTGTGTAATTGCACATGTAAATGAACGTATGTATATGTAGGATTTGCATAAGTGTATATTTGGTATATATATATATGAGAAAAAACAAAATCTTTAATATTACCTTCAAATATTACTCCATCTTAATTTGAAACCTAAACTTTAAGTAAGAAAGATTACCCATCAAATAATAGTTACAAATTACATTCATGAATTAGATTCAAACTGATAAAGATGTTAACTTAACAGTCATTTACAATATTAAGAGAGTACTATCGTTAAACTGTTATATTTAAAAAAAAATTTAATGTGTTCTCTATGAATGTGTTAATAAATACAGTATTTAACTTATATTAAATCCCTAAATTATTTGTAAAAGAGTTAAATATTTAAATTGCTAGCAAGCATCAAATTAATTTCTTCGTAGTTTTTTAGACATTTAAATTACTATCAAATATTAAAATCTTTTTTTACATAAATTGCTAAAACTATACCACCCCTCTCCTTCCTATGTGAAACTTATTTACAGCCTCTTTCTCTTTACTTCTCCCTTCTTTCTTTTTTCTTTTTCTTTTTCTCTCTTCTCCCCTCCCATTTCAATATATCACTTCCATTAAGTTAACCGATTAAATAGGTCAAGGTCTGGCCCCTCCTCCGTCAATACTAAGTATGATTGAAATAAATATTAAAATAAACCCTCTCTAAACTCGACCATGTCTCTTAAACCACTCCTCATCACTCCCTCTGTTAAATTGCAAAAACTAACACTACCCATCAAAAGTGTAAATTTTCATTTCATTTTTCGTTTCATCTTTTGGAAGTACTATCTGATGATCCAGCGTCCTTTAAAAGGGCTCTGGTGAAATAAATTATTATAATGAAACCTTAAAGTGGTCTGTTTTTCTTTAAAATATTAGCTCTGGATTTACATTGAGCTCTCAGGATTTCGTCCTCCTTGGGACTATCCATACGGATTACCAAGTTTTTCATAACTTATATATATATATATATATATATATATATATATATATAAATCGATTTCACCCCATGCAAGGCAGTAAAGCCACTAAGACAAGAAGTTACATGGTGTGGAAGAATTAGGAACAGAAACATTACTAATGAGCGGGAACGAAAAGAGTAATCAGGGGGACAGTTGATGGCGATTGACATTGCATTTAAATTTGAAGATCAAAGTTGTTTGGAAGCATGATGCCACAAGCGAGAAAAGAAACTGTTAGCATAGAACTTACGGTTAAGTCAGCTCAACTATAAATAGATGAGATCTCGACACAAGTCTAGTACTGTGCTTAAATTCGAAAAGTCCAGGTACCATAGCAAAGAGCGATATTTATTAGTAAATATTTACAAAATGTGGCACAAGGCCAAAATAGGGGATTGGGAAAAGGACGGTCTTCATCTGTCTTAAATTTAAACTTAGCTAGCCACAAAAACTGACCCAAACATACCACAATATCCCTAACACCAAAACAATACATTCTTACTTACCTTTCTTACTACATCCACCATAATACCTCATTGTCTCTATGAAAATCCTAACTAGTCCTCATATGTACAATTCATTGTATGTGAGGGGAATAAAACAACAATTTAAAAAAATAGCCCCAATGAGTATTTACGATATGAAAGCAAAACTATTTACAAGAAACCAAATAAAATAATGTTAGTAATAAAAAACCCCAACAATCCTTAAATGTGGCAGAAACATCAGTTAACTGGACGAAATCAATATACAACACTCATTCATTCCATGCACTCAAACACACACACATTCAAACACAACAACAAATACGAAAATCACACCCGAAACGAAAGGCGCCCGCATCCACCAGTGAACTGGAGCCTCTGCTCACCTAAACGGGGAAGGGAAATGGAATTAAACTAAAGAAAATGGGGACAGAAATAAAAGGGGCCAATGAGCTCATCCGAACAATTAACATGAAAGTATTTATAGAAAAGGCACAGAGAGGCAATCTTACGGTGGTGGGAAAGTGACTGAAGCCGAGCCGACAGATCAGGACTTATTGCTGATTCTTCTTTGGATTTTATCAAGGAGCTCAAGGTAAATAGCAGGAGCAGCGGGCCATATGTGACAGCAATATTCTAAGCATGGACGAATGGTAGCCTTATAGATACGTAATATAGATTCTAGAGAGAAAAATTGTCTGACATGACACAGTGAACCAACTTTCTTAGCAACATTCTTAGCAGCTGACCTAGCAATGGATTCAATATAGTCTTTCCACTTCATGTCAGCTGAGAATGTTAGCGCGAGAATTCACTTTCCTGGAGGTTAGTATTTAACTGAATATGTAAATTTTTTATAGATGTGGATTTATATTGATGGTAACGTTATTTGTTTTATCTTTCAAATACGGTCAGCACGTATATAAAAGTCTACATATTAAAAAACATTTTTGATAATGCCTAAAAGAATAGCCGAAATGTATATATATATATATATATATATATATATATATATATATATACACATATATATATATATATATATATATATATATATATATATATATATATAGAATAATACAACAGACTGCTCACAATTCATCACTTACCTGTATACATAAATTGCGTGAAGCAGACGTTCGCCCCTGAGTGTTGACTTCGATGCTTGTTATGGCTCTGATATCGAACACTTTAACCCATAAATACAACGTACCTTAAAACTATGTTTTATCGTCATAGTAACCGAATTACTTGCGCCTGCGTGTCACTGATTTTTTTTTTTTTTTGTAAGAAAATGATGATTGATTTTAAATC